TGAAGAAGAATGTTGCAACAGGATTGATTGGAGGAAGATTCATTAACAACCTGTGATATGCAGATGACACAATCTTGCTCGCTGAAAGTGAAGAGGACTTGAGGCACTTACTGATGAAGATAAAGACCACATCCTGGTCCCAACCACCTGGAGTAAAAGAGAACGAAGACCACATCGTTCAGTATGGATTACACCTCAACGTAAAAAAACCAAAAATCCTCACAACCGGACCAATAAGCAACATCATGATAAATGGAGAAAATGTTGATGGGTTAAGGATTTCATTTGTCTTGGATTCACAATTAACACCCAGGGAAGCAGTAGTCAAGAAATCAAAAGACGTATTGCATTGGACAAGTCTGCTGAAAAAGACCTCTTTAAAGTGTTAAAAAGTAAAGATGTCACTTTGAGGACTAAGGTGCACTTGACCCAAGTCATGGTATTTTCAATCACCTCACATGCATGCGAAAGCTGGACAATGAATGAGGAAGACTGAAGAAGAACTGATGCATTTGAATTATGGTGTTGGCAAAGTATATTGAATACACCATGGACTGCCAAAAGAATGAACAGGTCTGTCTTGGAAGAAGTACAGCCAGAATGCTCCTTAGAATGGAGGATGGTAAAACTTCCTCTTACATACTTTGGACATGTTATCAGGAGGGATCAGTCCTTGGAGAAGGACATCATGCTTGGTAAAGCAGAGGATCAGTGAAAAAGAGTAAGACCTTCAACGAGATGGACTGACACAGAGCCTGCAACAATGGCTCAAACATAGCAATGATTGTGGGGATGGCACAGGACTGGGCGGTGTTTTGTTCTGTTGTACATAGGGTCACTATGAGTCAGAACCAACTCAACAGTACCTAACAACAACAAAGTTTTAATCACATCATATAGTGTAAAGTAAAAAAAGCAGGAAACAAAATTGTGTATATTGTGCCATACCATTTATGTTTGTTAAAAGAGCACTTAGTATACATATAAGCCAAAAAACCAAACCAATTGCTGTCAAGTTGATTCTAACTCACGGCAATGCCAGGTGTGTCAGAGTAAAACTGTGCTTCATAGGGTTTTCAATGGCTGTGATTTTTGAAAAGTGAATTCAAACCACCAACTTTTCAGTTAATAGCTGAGCATCTAACCATTTACACCACCCAGGGAGCCTTGCATACATATAGATACACAGAGAACAATTGGTAGAAATCCCATCAAAATATTAACAAAGAATATCTCTGAGTGATGATGAAGGGTTAGGGGTTTCTTCTTAATACTTTTATGGCTTCTACAAATCCTCTAGAGTAGTGCTTCTCACATGTTAATTGGTGTACAAATCACCTGGTGATCTTGCTAAAATGCAGATTCTGAGTCAGATGGTCTAAGATTTTGCAGATTCTGCATTTCTAACAGGGCAGTGATGATGCTGTTGGCCCAAGGCCTACACTTTGATTAGCAAGGTTTTAGAGTAGAGGTTCTCAAACTTAATCATGCATCTCAATCACCTGGAGGGCTTGTTAAAGTACAGATTGCTGGACACCAGCTGCAAAGTTTCTGACTTAGTAGGTTTAGGGTGGGACCCCAGAAGTTTCATTGCCAGTAGTTTCCCAGATGATGCTGATGCTGCAGGTCTGGAGACCACAGTTTGAGAACTACTGCTTTAGAATATTTTTTTTTCTTAGTATCACAGAGGAGGGCACTAAAAAATATGTCCACCGCATCTAGGTCAAGTGGCATAACAAAGTTTATTAAGAAAATGTTCTGCCAAAACGAGACTAATGGGGCACGACAGTCCAGGGACAAGGACTAGAAGGCAGGAGGGGACAGGAAAGCTGGTAATAGGGAACCCAAGGTTGAGAAGGGACAGTGTTGACATGTCAGGGTTTTTAACCATTGTCATAAAACAATGTGTACT